GGAGAGGGATGGCAGGAGACAAATTGCTTGATCATTGTCTTCGGTCCATCCTCTCTGGGGCACCTGGTGCTGGCCACTGTCGGCAGACAGGATACTGGGCTAGATGGACCTTTGGTCTGACCCAGTACGGCCGTTCTTATGTTCTTATGTACTGGGCAAATTAGTTGAAACTATAGTAAAGAATAAAATTGTCAGCCACATAGATGAACATAATTTGTTGAGGGAAAGTCAACATGATTTCTGTGAAGGGAAATCATGCCTTACTAATTTACTAGAGGTTTACTAATCTACTAGAGTTCTTTCAGGGGATCAACAAACATGTGGATGAGGGGGAACCAGTGGATATAGTATACTTAGATTTCCAGAAAGCCCTCACCAAAGGCTCTTAAGTAAATTGTCATGGGATAAAAGGGAAGTTCCTTTCATGGATTGATAACTCGTTAAAAGAGGAAATAAAGGGCAGGAATAAATGGTCAGTTTTCAGAGTGGAAAGAGGTAACTTGTGGGGTCCCACAAAGGTCTGTCCTGGGATCAATCCTATTCAACTTATTTATAAATGATCTAGAGAAACAAACAAACAGTAAGCTGGCAAAATTTGCAAATGATACCAAACGGCTCAAGATGGTTAACACCAAAGCAGATTGTGAAGAGCTTCGAAAAGATCTCACCAAACTAAGTGATTGGGCAACAAAATGGCAAATGAAATTTAATGTTGATAAATATAAAATAATGCAAATTGGAAAAAATAATCCCAGCTATACATACAATATGATGGGAACTAATTTAGCAACAACTATTCAAGAGAGAGATCTTGGAGTCACTGTGGATAGTTCTCTGAAAACATCCACTCAGTGTGCTGTTGCAGTCAAAAAAACAAATAGAACGTTAGGAATCATTAAAAGAGGGATAAAAAATACGACAGAATATATCTTATTGCCTCTATATAAAATCATAGTACGTCCACATCTTTCTTACTGCATAAAGATGTGGTCACCTCATCTCAAAAAACTGGCATTGGAAAAGTTTCAGAAAAGGGCAACAAAAATTAAGGGGGGGTTGAAAAGGGTTCCCATATGAAGAAAGATTAAAGAGACTGGGACTTTTCATCTTAGAAAAGAGGAGAATAAGGGGGAATAAGATAGAGGTCTATAAAATCATGACTGGTGTGGAAAAAGTGAGTAAGGTAAAGCTATGTACTTTAACATAAGAATTAGGGCTCACCAAATGAAAGTAATAGGTAGCAGGTTTAAAAACAAAAGGAAGGTTTTTTTCCACACAGTGCATGGATGGCCTGTGGAACTGCTTGCCAGAGAACGTGGTGAAGGATAGGACTTTAACAGGGTTCAAAAAAGAGCTAGATAGATTCATGGAGGTTAGATCCATCAATGGCTATTAGTCAGGATGAGTACGAATGGTGTCCCTTGCCTCTGTTTGTCTGGAAATGGATGCCAGGAGAGGGATCACGTGATGATTACCTGTTGTGTTCCCTCCCTCTGGGGCATCTGGTATTGGCCACTGTCGAAAAACAGGATACTGGGCTAGATGGACCTTTGGTCTGACCCAGCATGGCTGTTCTTATGTAAACCCAAGTCCGCTGGCATAGGACAAATGCAGGTATCTAGTTGTATGTAGACATACTCTTAACCAACACAGGGAAGTTCTCTCATACACTACAGAAAAAGGGTGTGAAAAAAAATCAGAAAGAAAGGAGAAACAGCTGTAAGACTTGAAAGTATTTGACGTGCCAACAAAAGCACTTAATTACAAATTTTCAATAGCACTACACTCAATAAGAATGACACCTTCCTACAAAAGTTGTAAGGATTCATTATAATGCCATTTTGAAAAATACCCACATAAAGATAGTGGATATGAAAGAAAAAGCGTGATCCTTAGAGACAATCCTAAATAACACCTTCTGGTTATAATCATAAAGGCCAGATCTATATTAGAAATTTTTTACAGTGCAGTAACGTCAAGACAAGTCGATTTTGGTGACAATTCTGTACTGTACTGGATAAAGCTCTAGTGTTTTATACCACCATACAAATGCTTTTGTGGCTATGCCTTATTTCATACAGGAAATCAATATAAACTATACTGACAAAAGCCCTTTTTTGCCACTATAAGCTGCATCTGCATTAGGAAGGTTTGCTGATATACACATACTGGAAGGCATCTTCGAAAATATACTTGCACTAAGTCCCTGACTTACAGAAGCTAGATGCCCCGACTGCTCTCAGCAAAAAACTTCAACCAGAGTTTAGGCAAGCAAATGCTTTGGATGCTGGGTGTTAACACTGGCATAAAGAAAAGTAGAATTTCTTCATAACAACTAATGAATTACAAATGGCTTTCCAAACAAAGCAAACATGCTCAATACACTTTACTATGGTGCACAATCAATTTAATGCACTGTACTGAAGTCCTGTTTGAAATAATTTAAAATAAACGTGGAAGAAAATCTCTCTGCAGCTACAGATATATTTGGACTCCCAACAGCAGCCACTCAAACTGCTTATGCAAATATATTAAAATGTTGTTTTTAAATTTTATTGATGCTCATTACAAATTATGGTACAGTCTGTTTTTTAAAGGAGCCTAATAGTTTAGCCAATGTTTGTAAGAGATAGGTTTTGAGCACCTATTTGGAACATTGCTACTGTAAGAGCGAATCCAGTTGCATTAATACTATAAAAGCACTCCATGCTAGGCACAAGCAGTCAACTTTATACAAACTAATCAAATTTAGTCACACCACCTTGGAAATAGAGGCTGCCAGACACATGCTGTTTCAGGTCATCACCCCATCCCCTTACACATTCTGGAATCTTCCTCAGCTTCTCCCACCAAGCTTCTTTTGTATATCAAAACAGAAGAAACATTTTAGAACTTATCCATGAAAGAAAAAATCAAGGTAACAGAAAATAAAATCAGATCATGTGGAAGATTTTAAAAATTTGATGACACTTTTATTGACAGTCACGAATGAGTCAGATTTTGACACTGGGCCGTTTGTCAATCTTGTGATTCATACACTTTTATAAACACAAAAATATGGTATGAATGTACTTACTCATTACACACACTCTGCTCCCAAGTTAAAATAAGTGCTTTTGAAAATTGTTCCTTCTCATATATTACTTACCAAATTACATCTTCCTACTAAAATAGGGCTATACTTGGAATAAGGTTACCAGACATCCATTTCTAGACTGGAACACCTGGTCAAAAAGGGAACCTAGTGGTTTCATCAGCACCACTGATCAGGTCACTAAAAGTCCAGTCAGCAGATCACAGACAGCAGATCACAGAGGCTAAGGCAGGCTCTGCACCGGCTCCACATGGCTCCCAGACACAGGCGTAGTGAAGGAGGCAGAGAAGGGCTGGTGGATGGGGGCAGGTCGCAGGAGGGCTGAGGGCAGTGAGAAGGGCAGGAGTCACAATAGCAGAGGAGGGTGAGTAGTTGGGGGGCAGCAGGCATGAGGGGAGATGATGGAGCAAGGAGAGGAGACATGGCAGCAGAGAGAAAAGGTAAAGGTTTACAAGTATTTATTAATAACTTGGTATGCTGCCCACGGCCAGTTTGTTTGCACCCCGCAGTGCAGTTTGGGTTTATGTGGGGATCAACACACGGCCAGCGAGTGGGAGCCAAAACAAAAAAGTAGTCAGTGTAACGATCTTCTGTTGATATGCATTTTAGTAGTTAAATTCTTGGACTGTCATTGCTCATGAAAAGTGCTGTCACATGGGTAGAAATCAGGTAAATGTTGCATTTTATTAATATCAGCAGAGCTGACTTAAATGGGGTGTGTGTGTTGTGTAGTCTTACCTTAATCTTTGTATTCATGCCTGTCAGTGTGAGAGAAACTATTTGTATGTATTTGCTTGCATATGCAACCACACTTAAGTTGAGGCCCTCAACATGTTCTGTAAGCATCAGCATGGCCCCTGGGGCTTCCAAAGTTGAGTTACCCTAGTTCATCCCTGACAGGTGTCTATCTAACCTGGTCTTAAATATCTCCAGTGATGGAGATTCTACAATCTCCCTAGGCAATTTATTCCAGTGTTTAACCACCCTGACAGGCAGGAAGTTTTTCCTAATGTCCAACCTAAACCTCCCTTGCTGCAATTTAAGCCCATTGCTTCTCATCCTAACCTCAGAGGCCAAGGAGAACAATTTTTCTTTCTCCTCCTTCTGATACTCTTTTAGATACTTGAAAGCTGTCTCATGTCCCTTTTCGGTCTTCTCTTTTCCAAGGTAAACAAGGCCAATTCCTTCAGCCTTGCCTCATATCTCATGTTCTCTAGAACGTTCATCATTTTTGTTGATCTTCTCTGGCCTGTCTCCAGTTTCTCCATGTTTCCTGAAATGTGGCGCCCAGAACTGAACATGATACTCCAGCTGGGGCCTAATGTAGATGGCTCAGTCCCCTGTGTAGGGGACGTGAAACTGGGCAGGTTAATTTCCAATCCTCCTGTTTATTCTTTTCCTAAGCCAGGAGGGCACAGTAGTTCTGATGGGGGCTCTGCAGGAAGGCATCCCGCTCTGCTCCCTGCCTGAAACCTTGTGCAGGCTTTTAAACAGCTGTCCAGCCCACCCTAGAAGTGATTGCATTTCAGCTTGCCTGAAGCAACATAGCACCAGCAATGGACAGGAGAATGGCTCCCTTGCTCATGACTGCTTCAGTCCCATTGATGGGCCTCAGCCTCTTTCCTTCCCCTCCCCCGCTTTGCAATGGGGCTGTAGACTCTGGGGGGAGAGGGATGGAGGCAGGCAGAGGTGTCTCCCTGCAGCAGATATAAACACGTCTCTGTATTAATCATTCTCTCATTTAAATTTTTAGCTTTGTATTGAGTCCTTTTACATGGAAACTTTGTATTAAGTCTTGGTAGAATAGTCTGTAGGACAAGTGAGGCAGAGACTGTCCCTGTAGGGTGAATGAGGTGGGAATGGATAAGGCGGAAGGTGAGCACTTCTGGGCAGTTGCAAAGATTGGAGAGGGGATGGAAGCCAGACCAAAGATCAAAGAGCCCTGGGAAATGGGCCCATTGAAAGGAAGCCCCCTCTTTGGAGGTGAATGTGGCAGCATTGAGACACCACCTAGAAGCTGGTGCCACAGACACTAACTGCAGATTCATGGGACGGCTCTCACAGATCTTGCACACGCATAAGACGATAGATCTGCAGGAGGGGTGGCAATGGCGTAGCGAGGGGGCCAGAGGGGTCAGTTGCCCCATGGCACTATGCTAGGGAGGCTCCAATTTAATCCCATTCTGCTCCCCCCGTTATCCCTTCAGCTCACGTGCTCCTACTCCGCCTGCCACCGGCAGCTGGAGTCTCCTCCCTTCCTCTCTGCTCCGAGCTTGACCCTCCTCCATCTCCTCTGAAGAGTTAGTGCATGTGGGAGCCCAGCCCCAAACTGTAAGGGATGGGGGAAGATGTAATATAAGTTCCCCTCAGCTGTGCACCAAGTTCAGGGCCGTGCCATATGGCAGGAGGGGGGGAGGCGTGCAAATTTTTCCTTTGCCCCTGGGCGCATAACACCCTCGCTACACCTCTGCTCCCAGAAGCAGTTGGTATGTCTGGCTTCTAGGCGCAGGGTTTGCCACCTGAGCTCCACATGCTGTTCCCACCCCAAGCACTGGCCCCACAGTTCCAGCCTGGAGCCCCTTCCTGTATCTCAAACTCCCCATGCTCAGCCCTACCCTAGAGCCCTCAGCCCCTCCTGCACCCAACCTCCTGCCCCAGCATGGTGAAAGTGAGTGAACGTGGGAGAGAATAAGCAGTGGAGGTGGGGAGGAAGGAGTGAGTAAGGGTGGAACCTTAGAGAAAGAACAGGGCAGGGAGTGGGACCTTGGGGTACAGGAAGGGCAAGGATGTTTGCTTTTGTGTGTGATTAGAAAGGTGGCAACCCTAGCTTAGAAGCAGTATAAATGAGTGGTCTGAAAGGGAATGAGTAAGAGAAGAGGAAATAAGAGAATGGAATAAAAGCAAGTAGAATAATGGAATAAGGAGGAGGAGGAAGCACATAAAACTAGAGAGAAAGGTAATAAGTGAGAAGATAAATGTAAAAGCTCCAAACTTTGCTGTATTTCCTACCCCTCTTCCTATATATCATACTCTGTGATGTCTGTACAAACTTGTAAGAGCTTCAACTATTCTGCTAGATATTATTTATAATGTAGTATGAGGGGGCAAGAGAGTCCATTTGTGGATGACGTTGTTAGTCTTCTTTAGCCCAAACATCAATATATGATACTTAATTGGCTACTGTGATCTAATTCCATCTATTTCAGCTCTTTGGCAAATCAACACATTTCCAAAAAGAAGTATCTGAAACGTGAAAGTTAAAAAAAAAATCACATACATCCTCTGAAACACATCAGTAATATATTTTGTATGTCAGGCAGCATGATTTCACAGTCTGATAAATGGTTCCAATTTACCACAACCTCAGAAAAGTACCATAAAGCTTAAGGTAGCGCAAAGTTTGAGAAATACATTATCAAGAGTGTGAAATCTGCAGACATTTGAGATATGTTTTCGAATAGAGTGAGAGGTTTCCCGAAGAGAACTATGTAGGCAGGAAATAAGGCTCCCATAATTTAGTTACAAAAGGAGATCCCAGCCCTGCCTCCTTTTTTGTATCATTTGTACATAGCTTCTTAGTAGTTAACTCCTCTTACCAGTTTCTGGTTGACAGAATGTGTATTGGCTGCTGGAAGAGGAACCCATGTTAAAATCATCTGAAACTTGAGCTTCTTCATCAACAACTGCAACTTCCTCCTGCATTCCAATTTCTTCTACTTTAGGTGTTTCAAGGGTAACAATGTCAGAATCATCACTAATAGCCCCAATACAGGAACTGTGATCAGGCAATTTTTCATTCTTTGCCTAAAAAGTCAGTAATATAAAAATGTTATTTCAACAGACATACAGAAAATAGAGCATTTTAAAACCAGAAAGTAGTTCCTCTTTTGTCTCTAAAGCATTAACAATAACATATTTAATTTTGTGTCTTAAAAATGTTACTTGGCATTGTCAATTGGAGTTCAAATAGGTCTTTGAGCTGTACAATATATATATATAATATACCTCAGGGACTGCCTGGGTTTCCTCCAAGGCAGCATGAGTAGTTTCTACCATTGAGACCACATCATCTTTGCTGCATACAGCTGTAGTACAAAGAAAAATGCAATTAATGTGGGAGTAAGAACATGGACTCCACTTTTCTTCAGTAACATTAAGCAATTTAAAAGTCAAATGATTCCTAAATAAACATTATTCAAATGTATTAAACTTAATTATTCAATACTTTCCCAAAAAATAGCAGAATCCAAATACTTCCTCACTGGCATATGATGATGTGAGGATGCTTTTATTTAGAAATTAATTGCATTGATCATAGTAGAAACAACCAACACCCTAAATATACACGTAAGATTAATTTCAACAGTATGCCCTCAGTTATCCAGGCATAATGATGGAACACTGGCAAATCTGTATAATCCAAGGACTTTTCAAAATGTTGAGGATGTGACCATGCTTTGAATAATATATTCCTGAACATTAAGTCAAAAATGTATTGTACTTTACCATCAGGGATTTTGCATTAACTGAGTGAATCATCTTACCATTAAACCCGTTTCATAAAACTTACCATGACCATTTTTTGCTTCACAATTGATATCAGAAAAAAATATGTCTCCTATTCAATCTATTTTTTCTAAAAAGTTTAAATAGGGTAAATATCATTTTTCCAACTTATATTATGAAGCTAACTTCAAAAAAATGTGCATGCCCAAATTTATGCACTCAATAATACATGCACACATGTTGAGGTTTTCACATCATCTTACTATAAATTTTAGAAATGTGCATCTGGCTGTCTCTCCATCTGTGAGTCTGTTTGTTCAAGAACTCCTAAACAGTAAAAGCTAGGACCACCAAATTTGGTATTCAGTTTCCTCTCACTGAAATTTAAAGAAAGGTAAGTGTTTTGTTGCACTAAGACAATGGAATGTGGCTAGAATTTGACTGTTTCTCATAACATGGAAAGGGAGGGGTCTGGCAGGAGGGACAGTTATACTGTATAATGACCACAGCAGCAAGGGGCCAGACCTGGGGACTGGAAAAGCTACAATGCCATTGGGCCAACAAGGGGCAGGTGTGGAGAAAGGGACAGTTATCTACTATATAATTTCAGAGACTATGTCTGTCTGTCCCCCCAGCTGGGGGACATGCAGTCTTCGCCTGGCTGTGCCCTCTGCAGTGGCCATGGACAGGTACTTTGCACCTGGGCCCAAGCTGCTGTGGTTAGAGATGGCTGGGATTGTCCTCTTTCCTGGGCACAGCCTGCATACTGAACCTCTTATCCCCAGCCTCACCCCAGAGCAATGATTTAAATGAAGAAAAACAAAACTTATATGAGTTAAGGTCCCGAACAACACCAGGTAAACTAGTACTTTATATTAAGAGATGTGAACAGTTAACTGGTTACCTGATAAGCATCATCCTTAACAGGTGATGCTTACCAGGTAATGATTAACCAATAACTGGGAACAGACTGCCCCCTCCACACAGCCAGCTGGCAGCCTCATGTAGGAGGTGGGGAGAGGGGCCCAATTCAGCAGCAGCTTCGCATGGGTGGGGACGGAAGAGCAATGAGAGGGGGACAGCAGCTGACAGTTAACTGGTTACCTGATAAGCATCATCCTTAACAGGTGATGCTTACCAGGTAATGATTAACCAATAACTGGGAACAGACTGCCCCCTCCACACAGCCAGCTGGCAGCCTCATGTAGGAGGTGGGGAGAGGGGCCCAATTCAGCAGCAGCTTCGCATGGGTGGGGACGGAAGAGCAATGAGAGGGGGACAGCAGCTGGGCTGAAACAGCACCTGCCCAGCCCTGGTGAGCCGGGGGCCCCTTCCTCCACCCCAGCCATATTGGGTGGGCCACTCCAGCCAAGAGTCCCCTCCCAACCCTCATTTAATCAGTTAACTGACTAAAAGTTATGTTTAACCAGTTAACTAAACAAACAAAATTTTACATCCCTACTTTATCTATGTGGAAACCCTGCCAAAGTTGATAAATTAGGACAGGGTATTTAAAACTGAGTAGTCACAAATACGCATTTTGGAAGATTTGCTCCATTATCTCTAACAGTTTCCACTGAGAGGCAGAGGGGTCCAGGGGACAAAGCACTGAACTGGAACTTAGCAGATCTGTGTTTTATTCCCAGTTCTGCACTGGTCTGCTGTGTGACCTTAAGTAAGTCACTTCACCTTTCTGTGTTTCTGTTTCCAGGGCCAGTTCAACTTTTCTGGGGGTCTGGGGCTATTAGATTTTCTGGAGCCTCCTAGATGAGTCCAAAAGTGAATGATTCAGAGTGTGGGAGAAGGCTGTGTGTTCATGCAAGGGGTTTGGTGCAGGGATGAGGATTAGGACTCAGACTGAGGTTCAGACTCTGGGGCTGGAAATGAGGTTTTGGGGGGCAGGAGGGAATTCAGGGCAGGAGGCTGGGGTGGGTTGTGGGTCTGGGTGGGAGTTAGAGTATGGAAGGGAACTCAGGGAGGAGGCAGTGGATTGGGGTGCAGGGCACTTACTAGGGGCAGCTCTACTTTGGTGGTGAAGGGTCCAAGGAAGAAGGGAGATGGCAGGTGGCTCTTCACACTGCCCAGCAGGCACCGTCCCCCACAACTCCCCACTAGCCACAATTCCTAGCCAATGGCAGCTGTGGGGACGGAGCCTGCAAGTGCATGGATGGAGTTTCCAGTGCTTGCAGAAGCTTGGCGAGAGGGAGGCAGGTAGAACAGCCAAAAGTAATGTTTTAGTGATATACACCATGCTAATTACTTCACTCCCATACTCAAGTTAAGAAGGAATACATTTGTAATAGTATTTACTGAAAGCTGTCTAAAACACTGATAATGTAGTAATGTAACAGAGGCCTATACAATGTACTTGTCTTTATTATTATGTATATAGAGAGCATCTTGGACAAAACTAATCACTACAACTGAAATCTTGCATATTTTGTAGAGTAGTTATGGTTTTAATATCTTACCTCTCTGATCAAAGGGTTGCTCTTCTTCTTCCACCAAGGTAGCATATTCTTCTGAAGCAAACTCAAGATTATTATTTGTTTCTCCATTTTCAGAGATCACTGTCTCTATATCAGAACCCTGAAGAACAGAAAGCTTACATTATATTTACTGATGTAACAGCCTTTTAATTTTAAAGGACTTGAAAAGCATTACAGAGAAAACAACATGAACAACAATAATGAACAAAAACAACTGACCAAACTGATAATCTCTAATACTGAACAAAGTGTTACAGTACAGAGGGTGAAAGAAAAAAAATGTAAAAGCACTAGAAAATGTACTAATTACCAAAAGGAAATTATGTTAAAGGATGAGACTTAAAATAACTATGAATAAGAGAAGCAAAAGAAATGCAGAAAAAGAAACCATGATGCTTATAAATATCAACAATTGGTCTTATCACCTAGCTGTTCAGAACAGATAACTGTACCCTTTAGTTTTCTGCAGCCAGTCAAAATATCCAACCTTAAAAAATAAACAAGTACTGTAGCACCTCAGAGACTAACACACCATTCTGGGTCAAACCAAAGGTCCATCTACCATCTAGTTCAGTATCCTGTCTTCCAACAGTGGCAAATGCCAGAGGGAAGTGTACAAAAACAGGTAATCATCAAGTGACCCCACTCCTGTAACCCATTTCCAGCCCCTAACAAACAGAGGCTAAGGCAGGCCTGGGCAAAATACGGCCTGCAGACCAGATCAAGCCCTCCAAGCCACCCGATCCAGCTCACAGAGACAGTGGGGAGCCCATGGCAGGCTCCCCAACTTGCCCCGCAACCCCATACGCTGCTCAGGAATGTGGCTGTCCAGCACTTTCTCTTTGAATCCGGAGGGGAGGAGGGAAGATGCAGATGCCGCTCCCACGCCCAGCACAATCCCATCGGCTGGTTTCTAGACAGAAACTGGACAATGAGGGCTGTCTATTTGAACAACAGGCAGCCACAAAGCTCAACCCTCCTGCTCAGTTACTCAAGCACATGGACGAGCAGGCAGAAACATTTTAAGCTCTGCAAGCCTTTAGCTCTGCAATGTCATGGCCATTCCCCACTCTGGCACGGCGAGTGCAGAAGGAGGGGGCCCACAAACACTTTAAATATACTTTGTGACTACAGATACTGGTTATAAAAACTCTCCCCAGAATCACAATACACAGATTTTGGGGAGGTGCTGCCACCATCAAGTGATTTTTATCCCTAAAACAGGGGGCGAATACTTGAACCCACCCCCAGCTTACCACAAGCTCTTCTGCTACAAGAGAGCTTGAAAAAAGAAAAGAGAAAAACAAGCTGCAGTCTCCAGTAGCTGACCTCTCAATCTAAGGCATGCAGCTACACACTGAGGCTATGTCTAGACTGCAGTGCTTTACCGGGATACCAGACGTATCCCGGAAAAGCAATGCTGTGTCCAAGGAACGCATCTGCTTTTCCAGAAGAATTATCGGGAAAACGGACATACTCTTTTGCCATCCCTGTAAACTTAATTCTATGAGGCATAAGGGATGTGTCGAAAAAGCAGGTTTTTCTGAAATTTGGCACTGTGTAGATGTGCTCAGGAGGTGGGGAATGGGGCAAGAGCCTGTCCCCCTCTAGGGGATGATGGCTCCCACCTGGCCTCAGGGCAGGGACCAGCAGGCTCAGGAGGTGGAGAATGGGGTGTCGGCTCTCTTCCGGTCTCACTCCTGAGGGCAGAGGGCGCTGGGAGGGTCTGTATGTGCGGTGGTGGTGCCCCAGAGCCAAGTCCCTCGATGGCACTGTCACACCAGTTCATCTGATCGTCCACCAGCTTGTGTAGATGCGCCAAATTTCAGAAAAGCCTCTTTCAAAAAAACCATAAGAAAACAATATGCAATTTGCATACTGTAACTGTACCCTTTAGTTTTCTGGAGCCAGTCAAAATATCCAACTTTAAAAACAAACAAACGAGTACTGTAGCACCTTAGAGACTAACACACCGTTCTGGGTCAAACCCACCCCAACCTCCTACACTCCAAGCCACTGCCTCCGCCCTGAGTTCCCTCCCATACTCTAACTCCCACCCAGATCTGCACCCCACTCCAACCTCCTGCCCCCCCAAAACCTCATTTGCAGTTCCACCACAGAAAAAACTGAGTATCTTTTTTATTTAACTCTGCAGTCTAGATGTAGCCAAACAGACCTCCTGTACCTTCCAGAACACAAGAATCAAATCACCACCTTAAAAATAGTGATTTTTATTACAAAACAAAAGGTATACTTGATAAAGCATACCTGGTTGCTAGATGTTACAGAGCACCTAAGGAAAACAAATTAAAAACACAGAGAAAATGCTTAGATGGTACATGGGACGGGGAGGCACAGCTCCACACAGAGCAGTTCAAACCAAACCACAAAATAAAGACAGTACCTTGATCGCGACTAGATTCACTTTTTTCCCTTTACTTACTTCCAATCTTTTCCAGGTTCAGTCCACTTCTATGCCCCCAGAATACTGGAGGCATGGTAGTCCTGCCTGGGTTCAAATCATTCTCTCTCTCTCAACTCCTGCTTTTTCTCTCCCCACAAAGAAAGCAGGCAAGGAATCTTATACAATTCAAATTTCAGCAATGCATGCCCATTGGTACTTCTGGCTACCTGAGTTTAACCCCTTAGTCACAGGGTGCTGGTCAGCACTCCTCCTGTCCTTTATACAGGCAGGCTGGTAAGTCTCCTGTCCAGAACCTGCCTCTGGCACACTAACTCCTCCCTTCCCCAACCCTCTGTCTCCCACTCCTGCCCCGCTACTACACATTCACCCATACCCCCTCCCAGATCTGGCACCCCACTCTCCTGCCCAAGATCACATAACCCCTCTTATCCTAGGTCACATCTTAAAACCCTACACCCTAGTTCCCTGCCCTAGGTCACAACTGCTTCCTTCACCCAGACTCCATTCTCCCTCCTGCTCCCCAATCCCTTACCCCAAGCTCCCTTCTGCACCCAACCTCCATCCCAGACTCCGCACCTACTCCATTAATGCCATGGAAGAGTGCAGCCCTTGACCACTTTCTAAAATCTTGGAGTGTCCCCCCCCTCCCGCATCAAAAATTATTGCCCAACCGTGGGCTAAGGACACCAGTCTTACCCATTCTGGCTAATAAGTACTAATGGACCTAACCTCCATGAATATATCTAGTTCTTTTTCGACCCCTGTTAAAAGTCTTGATCTTCACAACATCTTCTGGCAAGGAGTTCCACAGGCTGACTATGGGCAGCATTAAAATAACTTTCTTTTGTTTGTTTTAAACCTGCTACCTATTAATTTCATCTTGCGATCCCCTAGTTCTTATGTTAGAGGAACAAATAACATTTTTTATTCACTTTCTCCATACCTGCCAATTGTATAGACCTCAATCATATCCACCCTTAGTCTCCTCTTTTCTAAGCTGAATAGTCCTAGTCTTTTTAATCTCTTTTCATATGGCACCTGTCCCAAATCCCTAACCAATGCCAATAGATCTTTTTTTGAGATGAGTCTCATTTGAAGACGTGGATTTTGCCCACAAAAGCTCATTTTTTTAAGTTACAGACTAACATGGCTACCCCCTGAGACTTTTAACATATCAACCTTATTTTCCAAAATAAAACAGTTGTAGAGAGATTAAATATATAGTCTTCATTAATGTAGGTATCTTATTCTGGATCCCTTTTGCTTCCAACAAAATGAGGTTGAGGGGTGCGGTATGCTTAAAACTTTAAAGGCCCAACAGTAAGTCAAGCTACACACATTAACACTCAGAAAATGTATATAATGAAAGCAACATTTTCAAAAACTTGATGATGTTAATAACTTAACAGTATTTCAAAAAGCATAACTTATTAGTACTGTACCATAAGGCTCTCTTATATTTCACAATGAACACTTGCAGGCATATATCAAAATGTTTAAAATATATTTTTACCCTAAAAGGATGATCAGTTTCTTATCTAGGAATATTCCCTATGATATCTGATAATGAAAACTAATGGGTATCTCAGGAATGGGCAAGATACATATTGCGGGGTGGATCCAGCCCGATAAGCCACTGGATCCGGTCGCAGACCACCCTGCTAGTACCCTCAGGCACACAGCTGTGACGTTGTGCGATCTCCCTGTTCCCAGCCCAATCTTCAGCTCCTATTGGCTAGAAATAACCAGCCAATAGGAACTGACTCCAGCCAATCTCTCAGCTCCTACTGGCCAGAAACAACCAGCCAATAGCAGCCCCAGCCTCTCGCCCTCCCATAGCTGAGAGCCACACAGAGTGAGTAGCCTGCAGTTTTACATGATCTGGAGTAGGATGTTAAAGACTAGTCGGATAGTAATGTCGACTAGTCAACTATGAAATTGAGGCAGCAAGGGCGGAGGGGTACTTCAAAGTGGCAGCTGTACAGCTGATCCTGGGATCAGCTGTGCGGTGGGCTGCCCCTTTAAAACGCTGCCTCTGCGGGTATTCAGAGGGGCAGCCCTGGAGCCTTGGGTCAGCTGGGAACTCCCAGCTGATCCCGGGCTCCCCGCGGCATTTCCCCAGAACCCAGCATCAGCTGAGGACTCCCCAGCTGACCCCGTGCTCCATGGCAGCTTCCCCTTTGAAATGTGCGGAGGTGGCATTTTAGAGGGGAAGCTGCTGCGGAACCCGGAGTCAGTTGGGGACTCTCAGCTGACCCGGGCTCACCGCAGCATTTCCCCACAACCCGGGATCAGCTGCGGACTCCCCAGCTGACTCGGATTCCAGGGAAGTGCCGCGTGGAACCCGGAGTCAGCAGGGGCGAGTCCTGGGGAAATGCCACGGGGAGCCCAGGCTCCACAGCTGCTCTCTGAATCATGCGGAGCCGGCGTTTTAAAGGGGCAGCCCACCACACAGCTGATCCTGGAATCAGCTGTGCAGCAGCTGCCCCTTTGAAACTGCAGCCTTTGCGTGATTCAGAAGGGAGGCAGGGAAGCCCAGGGTCAGTTGTGCAGCGGGCTGCCCCGTTCAAACGCTGCCTGCACACAATTCAAAGGGGCAGCTGTCGTTGAGCCCCGAGTCAGCTGGAATGGGGAAGTGCCTCAACTAAAATTAACCACATTTTAACATCCTTAAT